TGAGACATAGTTTCTTGTTCAGATACAATGTTCCACTGTTCAAGTCTTGTAATTGCCATGTCAAGAATTATCTTTGTAATTAATTGACAGTAGAAATTTTTTTATCCTTAATAACCTGTTTTTATCTACACTAGTTATATCATTTTCATTTAATACCACCTTCCCACATTCACAAACTCCGTTAATTGGAAATTTGTGCTTTTTGTTTGCTTGCAATATCTAAAACTGGCAGCCATCATCATAAACTTTAACTAGCATTAACTATATATTATTGGCAGTGTATCATGAGCTCAATGACTCGTGTTGGAAAACAAGTTGTTCCACTAAATTTTGTCTCGCCTCTATTGTGCTGAGAGGAAGTTTAACCTGAATTATATTATTTAACTTATTAACATCTCTTTCCCATGCTTAAGGCTTATATGAACAGAAAATCAGTAATTTTTGATTCAAACAGCACTAAATGTAATATTTTGGCCTGTGAATATTATTTGCATCGTCTATTTTTTGCATATGGAAAGAAATTTCTGTTAAATTTCTCTTTGTCAACACCCTCAACAGATGATAGCATAGTTGTCTGTAATTGTCTTAAGCATAATGTCAATATAAAAGGTTACCATATTGTTTGGTATTCAGTTACTAATATTTTTTAAAAAATGTTTTAACATTGCTGTGCGAGCCATTTCTCAAGCTGCCGTGTGTTGATAGTCAAGCAGTGATGAAAGCAAAAAATAATAAATGTTTTATTAGGTTAGCATTTATTCAGTAGATGTAAAATTCACGATTTTCGTAAATATAAATGTAATGATATGTAAAATGTTTCAGCTTGAGATGTATGCCAAGCAAAAAGGCAACTACAGAGCTAAATTATTGATCATACAGATTTATACTAATAAATAATTATGTTTCTTCGATATAGAGGAGTTCTATTTAGGGCCAGAGTGAAATTAAGAATCAGGACCCTCCACTTGTTTTATTAAAAAAAAAAAAAAAAAAAAAAAAAAAAAAAAGCATATGTGCATGCATGAAGTATTAAGCATACAAAAAAATTTCTCAATAATTAAAAAAAGTTTCTGGTTTTCCAGAGGTCTGGATTTTAAATCATTCCAGATATTAGACTTCTAGACTTTTAGGATTTTGTATTATATAAACTCTCAAAACCTCCCAAGAGATTGTGAATCACCCTATACCTCAACTAGACTGAGAAAATAGTAAGAAAATTGTAAGATGGTTAAATAATTTTCAAAGTTCAAATTGTTTTAATTGTTAATTAAAAAGTTGTTGTTAATTAAAAAGGAGGGATTAACTAACATAAAGTCAAGTAGGCAAGCTTTATTAGAGAAAATATGTTTTTGAAGTTGCTTACAAAGTTCACAGCATAAAGATTTTGTAATTCTTTTTCCTGTTAGACTTCAGATATGTTTTTGATATTCAAAAAATATTTGCTTACGACATGCCGAAAATTAAGGTAATTTTTTAAAACTTTTTTTTAATTCATTGTTTATCTTTGTAACTAATTCTTAATTTTATTAATATGAGGGCTATCCAGAAAGTAGATTACGTTTTGGAATAAAAAAATAAACAAAGTTAGGAAACAAATTTTATTATTTACAGATGAAGCCACACTCAAATACTACTTTTCTACATAGTCACCATACAAATAAGGCATTTATCGTAGCGATGTACGAGCTTGAAATTCCTTCGTCGAAAAATTCGGCCGCCTGTGCCTTCAACCACTTCGTTACCCTTCTTGCTTTTCGCTGATGATTTCATGCAACAAACTTGCGAAATTTGTGGAAAAACTCAAAGAAGTCCGTTATTGTGAATTTCGATTTTCACGGACTTTAGCATCGCTTTTTTCGAGAAGCTCGGCGGTCACTATGCTGGGTCTCCCACTTCGATCTTCGTCGTGAACAGTGGTTCGCCATTTTGAAATCTATGACCCACTGACGCACTCCACCTTCAGTGATAATGTTGTCCCCAACACTTCACGAAGCTGCCGATAGATTTCTATCGGTTTACAGTTTTTTGCAGTCAGAAACCTTATTACTGAGCGCACCTCGCAGCTCGCGGGATTTCAATTAACGCAGACATTTCAAACCGTCACAGTATCTGAACGGAGCACTGCACGAACCTCTCACTAGCACGGCTAGATGCAGACTGAGCTGCGCAACGCTCTGACCCCAAGATGGCCGCGCTAGCCCCGCCCCTAGCGGACACAGACGGAAACGTAATCTACTTCCTGGATGGCCCTCGTATTATGATATAAATCAATATATCAAATTTTAGTGTTTTTTTAACAGTCAGCTCAGAACTAGGCCAAATCCATTATAGAAACTGATAACTTATTTATCAGAGATAGTCATGCTGCGTAATGTATTTCCTTCCATTTAAAATCAAACTGGAACATCTCAGAAAGGTTTTACGGTAAGCCATTATAAAAAATCAGTAATTGTCATTCAGTCATGCTCATTCACTGGTAGTCATGATCAATAAAGAATCATTTTCCTAGAAGCTAAAAGTCATGATCATCTTACAGAGGTTTCACAGCATATATTTTTAGTGTTTGTGTTTTTTGATTTATTGTCATTTTCTTCTTATTCATCATTTTTATTCAGGATATAGTATAATGATACAGGAACTAATATTTAGTGCTGATAGATAGTAAAATAATTGTAAAAAAAAAGACATAATTTTATGACGTTCTCATTGTTTGTTATGTTGTGTAAAACTTGTGACAGGATTTTGACATTGGTGCAGTGGCTGAAATTGCTGTTGTCAACTAGAATAGCTATACTATTTGTTTAAGAATATGATATCAAAATAAGAAAAGGCTGAATATAATTTCAAATAATTCAAGATGATAAACTGTAGATAAATATAATTTAAACTTTTTTCAAATTTTTGATAATTCAGCTTCGTTAGTAGAAATGTGCTTATGACTGAAGATAAAATATTTTGAGAACATATGCATCTGTTAATCTATCCATATAGAGTAGTTGGCTGTGATACCTATGAGTGATTTGCAGGTACATGAAACTGAGGATAATAGTAAATTCTGTATTAAATGTGGTGTCTAAACTAGACTTCATTTGATAAAATTTATGTATTTAGTATCGAACGTTTGACAGATATTTAATGAAATGTGCTAAATATTTTATTTAATTTTGCCAGAATTAAAACTTGTAACATACTGTATTCTGTATCATCAAATTATATTATATTCTGTATTACTAAATTAAGTAATGCAAAATGTACAATGCATTTTTTCTTTTTCTTGTATATATGGGAATAAGGGTTATAATATTTCAGCCTAACCTTCAAAATATGATAGAGTGGTGAAACAGTGCTTACATTATATACTGTTTCAAAGAGCAACACAAATCATTCTTTTTAGGATTGGTTTAATTATGGAAAAGCATGCGAGAATTATCTGCCTAAGATAAGGAATGCCTTCATGGAGGACTTTCTGACGCGCTGGTATCCATGTTAAACACGAAAACAACAAAAAGGCTCATGTAGCTAACTTGGAATTGAATTGATTATCAGTGTTCAGCAATTTTACTGCTCGGCACATGGTAAAGTCACTGGTGCTGCTGGTGAGCACGTGCATATGTGAATATGGGGAAAAGAAAACACCCTCATCAGATGATAGCATAGTTGTCTGTAATTGTTTTTAAGCATAATATCAATGTAAAAGGTTGCCATATTGTTTGGTATTCAGTTACTAATATTTAAAAAAAATTGTTTTAGATATTGCTATGCGAGCCATTTCTCAAGCTGCCATTTATTGATAGTCAAACAGTGATGAAAGCAAAAAATAATAAATGTTTCATTAGGTTAGCATTTATTCAGTAGGTGTAAAATGTGATCTTCTGGTAGATGAGACATCTTCCATCATGTTTGCTTAATGCAAAATGAGAGCACAGCTTTTAGAGATGATCTGTAACTTGAGAATACAAAAATTTTTTGTAAGGATCGTTTTTGTTTGCCTTATTTTGTTACATTGACATGAATATATATTTAGTGCTTACGATCACAACTCCTGCAGTAATTTTTTTCCCCGTCTACTGTAAGCCAAGACGATTGACTGTGTATATTGAATTATTAAATATTTAGTATGACTGTATATCATAGGTTTCTATAGTTAACAACAGATAGCTTCAAAAATTTAAAAAAAAAAAAAAAAAAAATCTTCTTAACTGTTAATTACCAATTTCCCATGTAGAGCAGGCCCACCAGCGGCCGAGCGGAAACGTCGCTGAACACTGGTAGTTCAGTCCGAGGTTCGAGTCCCGCGAACGAGCTGGCTGCATGGGCGTTTTTATGGTTTTCCCCATGTGTAACGTGTATACGAGTCAGTTTCCCTTAAAAAGTCCTCCACAAAGGCATCCCTCTCTTAAGGCAGATAGCCCTCGAGTGCTTTGCCATAATCTAATAAACCAAACCAAACCCATGTAGAGCATTTAATTTTAAAATTCTTGCTCATCACAGTTTTTCAAAAAATGGTGAAACTGTAGATATGTCAGTTTCATTTAATGGAAGGGAATGGAACTAAATATTTGCAAGAAATCTTTTGTTATATTTGATTTAAGTGTGTTGTAATTGGGACAAAATTTCTTTTTGATGGGATAATGCACACATTATTTAAATCAGGTAAAAACCAAAGTGGAAAGATTGAATATGAAGGAGCAAGTAAAAATTAGCTTGAAAGTATTAACCAGTTTTCAGTGACATGCATATATATTCTTTCTTTGTTAAGTTGTTTTTATTTTCATATGTTAAGTAAACTTTTATACAAGTACTTTTTTTTTTAGTGGGCAAACTAGGTGTTGAAAACAGTAACTGTTTTTATAGGTTAGTAATGATTTGTACTAGAATTTAAGTTAAAATATTAGATGTATACTCAGACCTGACAGATGTATTTCAGAATGTACAGATTTTAATATCTTTACAAAGTGTAAATTCTTAATTTTTATTTCTCTTAATATTCTTTACTTTAGGTCTTTAATGGTTGGAACGGGTACTACAGTAAGCATTGGATTATCATCAATTGCAATATTATATGCCAGTATTGGCCTCAGTGCTTTAGTTCTATTTTTTGCAAGTGGTGGGATTTTTCTGGCCATTCAGAGGTGTTGGCGAAAGGATGATGATTTGCTTTTAAGTAATAACAGCGTAAATTAAAAATATTAATGTATTTTATTAATGTTTATTTTTAAATAATGTTGTTTAAAATTATTTTTTAATATTCTTAAATTATATTTATTTACATAAAAATATTACTGTGATTAATTCATATGTTGTAAATGTTCATATATTTTTAATAGTTAGTTTTCTCTAAGTGTTATGTTTTATATTATTTTACTGTAATATTATGTAAATTATTGACAATACACATCTCAGATGTACATATTTCATTGATGTAATTCCTTTCCTTAAAATATTTAAAATTAGTCCACAAGAAAATAAAAGATTTAAATTTGCACTGCAAATTTCATTGCATTTGTTGGTTAATGAACCTAAATCGCCACTTAGGAAATCTTTTAAAATTGCTCGCAGTGAAGCAAAACAAGTATCGTAATTTAAGATGTAATACTTTTTGTTCTTAAATTTGTTTTTCCTCATCCTTAGTTTATTATAGAAATCTATGGAAAATTATTTCTTGTGATCGGCAGGGTGTTTTCCTGCTTTAGATGCTTCCAAAAGATGTATCATAATAGTTGTATAGAAGTAAAGGAATTTTTTGTTTGGTATATTTCATCAAGTATTAATTCATCATTCATGATTAGATCGGTGAGTTTAGGTCAGTGAATACTGTTCACTGACAGAAAGAAAATGAGTGTGTCAAAACTTAATGCTCAATTTACTCTTCATGTAACTTAATTCCTATTCTTTAAGTGTTATGGTTCTTATAAGAATATATAAATTTGTAATATTTAATGCCATTTGTATTTTTAATTACTTTTGTCAAAGTCTATTGTTGTAAAAATAATATTTTCATACATAATTTATAAAAATGTAAATAAAAATTTTCTTTTGCTTGCAGTTATTATTTGCATTGTTATTAAAATTGAATTAAGTTTCATTAAGTTTGTGTATGAACATTTATGAAGTTTTGTTTTGTTTGTCATGGAAGAGTGAAAATTTTAAATACAGGAAAACAAATTCCAAAACCTCGTAATTATCAAAACTATATACTACAATTTCATATTCCTAGTTTTATTTTAAAATCTGAATTGAAGTACTAATTTTGTTTCTCGGTTGTTGTTCAATATAATTTTGCAGCACATAACAAACTGTATATATCATGTCCATAAAAGGCCTTACTCAGTTTATATTTTTACAACTGTTGGTTGTAGATGTATACTTCCCATACAAAATGCTTTAAATGTAGAAGATATTCATGTTATGGCATTTTTAAGTTTGAGAAATCAGTTTTGTAAAAATTATCACATCTAACTTTTTATACAATCAAACATTTCATATAGTTGAATTTAGAAAAAGTTAGTACGTATTCTAAAGGATAAAATACACAAAATATGACAAAAATTGTGTAAGTTTTTAATGTTTGGGATATTTCTTTTCTGAAAATTCAGAATTTGTACACAACTTAGAAAGTTCAATATTTAAGTTTGCATGTAACAAAAAATTAAATAACAGTTTCTAAAGAGTTTTCTGTTATTGATACATTAAGTAATAAGTATTGCTATGCAGACTATTATGAAACATTTTAATAGATACATTTTTTTAATCTGAAAAGAGATCTTATTCATAGAAACACAAGTTTGAGATTTGGAAAATGATGGTAGGATTTACTTTGCCATATAGCCAATTCATAACATTATTTGCATAAATTTAATGTGAAAAACCTAAGTCCGGTGCATTTTTTGTGTAAAATTAGTATTTGATCATGACCTTAAAGTAATAAAAGTGCCTGTGCCTATTAATACATTACAGCATTTAGAAACTTTGTGAAAATATTTTCTACAGTAACCACTGGATTATCATTTTGCACTGTTGCAGGGCAGTGTTGGTCTTAGGCACTGTTACTTGACTGAAAATGTTTTTGGCACATTAGATGATTAAAATTATAAGTTAAAGAATGTTACACAGTAGTAAATTACAAAATATTATTGACTACCATTAATCAACATAGAATTATTCTGCTTTTAACTGACTCTTCAATGAAAGCCCCTTGGGAGGGGCAGAACTTTGAAATGAAATCTGTTGGCCAAGTATTGTCTTGGAAGTCAAGTTTTTTTTTTTTTTTGTTTTATTTTTCAGACCAAGCATAAATCTGTACTAAACATGACAACACTGGTGTTCAAATTAGAAGAATTTTTATATTTATATGATTGTGTTCAGAACTGATGAATTAATTGTAATAAAATTTGATATGGACATAGCTTGATGAAATGCATATAAAATATACTATGCAAAAGTCATGGTATACACACATGATTGTGTATAAGGCCCATTAGTGCAGTAAAATCTATAACAGAGGATGATATCTAAAACAGAGACATCAAACGAAAAAGGAAGCTATGGTCCCCTCTAACAGTCATACAGATTTCACAATTCAGTTCATACTGAAAATGAGGCAGTTGAGTATGTGTGACAATTAGTCCTACTTCTGAAGCAGCTGTGTTTCTATGTTCTGAAGGATTCTGGATGTGGGACTTGAGCTGCAGTTTGCCTCTCGAGAGCACCAGGCACATTCTATAGGGTTTAAGTCACGAAATCTCATTCGCCAATCAATTTGTAACTTTTGCACTAATAATGGGGCAGCCATCCACTTTGTTGAGTCAGCATCTCGGACATAAAATCCCATTATCAGAACTATTTTACAAGCTTGAGCTGCATGATTTGCGATATGGGTTGGTCCTATTATAAAAGATGATGTATCTACTGAATAGCAAGGCATTCAACGGGGTAATTGATAGAAAGTCATGAATTGAGAATAGAGATATTTCTTATTAGTGCTATGAATATACTTTACTATATAAAATACATAACTTATTTCTGCTATGTATGGAGATGAATACATATAATTTCTTGAGTCATGAAAGACCAGTCTTGGTGCTGAATGAATTTATGTTGCAGGAAGAAGAGACATAGGAGTAAGGGAATGGGGAAATAAATAAAATGAAAGGAAATATATAGATAGATTGATGTACATACATACATACATACACACACGCACATATAAACCTTACTTACATTTGATTATTTGTTAATATTTATATATATATATATATATATATGTAGTAATTTATTTGATTAGAAGGAATCTGGTACTTTTAACTTTTGGCTGTAGACAAGACTGGGTGGAAAGGCATACAGATAATGACAACAAAACTAGATTTTTACGAAACGCCTATCTTTATTTTCACACATATCAAATCATTTCTTAGTATATAAGATCACTGGAAAGCAATTGCAGTAATTTTTATATACATGTTGCATCATCTTAGAATAAGAACAAAGGAGGGCATAGCAAGCATAGAGTTGTTGACATGGAAGAAGTTAGGAAAAGAAATGGCGTAGCTGCTTTTGAGCAGTATTTATAGTAAGAAGTGCATAAGTACAGCTAATATGTGATTGGTTAATTTTGGGTGTTAGTTCCATTTTTCAAGCAGCATTATGTAACATGAAAAGATCTCGAATTTGGGATAGCAGATGAATTTGGGGGGGGGCAGAGAAAACCAAATTTAGAATAGTTAATTTTGAGGTTGCCAATCGTTTCTTAGCACAGATATCATATTTTGTTATATCTTACATATATATCTTTATCTTATCTTACATATATATCTTTATATTTTGTTATATCTTTAGCAACAGTCCTTTTAATTCAGCTATGCCCTTTTACTGGCAACTAAACTGCGCCCCTTGAAAACTAATCTGCATTATGCCATCTTTTAATGATGCAGTATGGTTAGCTGTTGTCCATCAACGTTCAAAATTTAAGCAAAGGATTCAACTCTATAGATATACTTTGCTGAAACGCACACAGACTTTTCCTGCCTTCCTATCACTGTGCAAAAGCATGTTCCTCATTTCTCTGCTTGTCTAATGTTATTCGTTATTTAAAAGTGTGAAGGATGCTTATCATATCCAAAATAATGTGTGAACATGCTTATGCTTATCAAGTATATCCACATATAAATTGATATATTGTTATTGACGAAATCTCTCTCAATTATGTGATCTTGTGAACTTTTTCCAGGTAATTACAGATAGCTTATCGTCAGTAACAGCTGTCTTATTTCAAGTTATCTACACAGGATAGTCACAATTAATAGAGTGGACAGGATGTGAACCGCTTTATGACATGTAATGCTTACATTTATATGTAATGCTTTTAATGTTGTTTTAAAACTGTAAATGCAGACAAGATCAAAAGTGCCTAACAATAAATTTGAAATTGTTTCTGTAAATAATCAAAATTTTCTTAACCTTTCCTGCAACTAAGGTGACACCCCATGAGCAACCTCCATGTTAAGCAAGAGGGCTAAGCAATGTCTGCAGAAAAGCCTCAAAAGACGGACTTAATGAAATCACTTGTTAGACCATCTGGGCCTCAATCCAGCAATGCAGGGATTTTAGATTGTGCTGTCTCTTTCAATCTTGAAGGCTGTACCATGCACCATGCACTCATCAAACCACAGGTCTGAGAGACCACCAAGGGGGTGGGGGAGGGAAATTATAGATTCTGTGATGGCTTAAGCCACAACCATCTGGGGTTGCCCAGCATAGGTTGCCCTTTCTGGTTGTAGGAAGTGGGTCTGTGTAAATGTGCCTTCAGAGCTGCTACTGTTATAGTAACATACTAAGCCAGTGTACACAACCCCAGGGGAAAACCTGTAGATAAATTTACCTGTCCAGTATTTGATCCGACATAGGATCTTCCCTTTGATAAGTAATTTAATTTTTTTGAAAAATGATGTAGTACAAAACCTATTTCTGGAGAAGAAAAATTAACTATATTTCTAGATTTTTTAAAGGTAAGACCTTGTTATTTTATATCAGTGAATGTATTCGAATTGATGACTTAATGTATTCAAAATTTTTTTAGTAGTGCTAGAACACCTAGTGCTTCTTGTAGTACTATCACTTCTAGTAATGCTGGTACTTTTACTACTTCTGATAGAACTACTTCTCATACTACTAGTACTTGCCATCCGTCCATCCATCCATTTTTAGGAGGTGGTAAAATGAAAATTGTGTGAGGGATTTAAAATTTTGCATCTAAATTTAGTAAAACATTCCGAAATTTTAATCGTATTAATTTACAAATTTTGTCTGCTTGATTAAAAAAAGTAAACAAAAGAAATTTGATTAAATGTAAGCTTTATCATCTGTAAGTGAACCTTTTGAATTATTTATTTATACTGTTGATGATTTAAACTATCATAATTCCAATAAGAAGCATATTCACATTATTATAGATCATGCTACTCTTTATAATAGGGGGACCGGAAAGTAATGTCGTTTCTGCACATGTTGACAACAACATGCTAAGGGCAGGAGTGGAAACAAATCCATGTCAAACACTCTTAACCAACCTTGGTCGACCATCCCAGAACATTTAAAGCAGAATGGAAAAATAAGCAAAGCAGATGTTTGAGTCCCCCATAATCTGTCCGAAAAGAACAAAGCCAACCTGTCCATCACATGCAACGTATTGCTTCAACAGCACTGTACAGAACTGTTTTTTAATTGATTAGTGGAGACAAAAGAAAAAAAAAAAGACCTATATGATAATCCAAAACTCAAAAGGCAGTTTTAATTGTTCATTTTGAATTGCTGAAACCTGGAAAACTCTCAATGTAGACCTTTATTCTGAACAATTGGATCTAGTGAACCAATCTTTAATCGAAAAATATCTGGCGATTGTCAACGGAAAAGGCGTCATTCTGCAACACGACAATGCAAGACCGCACTGTGCAAGATGAACACTGGAAAAATATAATGAATTGGGGTGGGAGGTACTGCCTCACTCACCATATTCGTCCGATATCGCACCCTCAGATTTCCATTTATTCCGATCCCTACG